GAAGAGGGAGGAAGAGGGAGGAAGAGAGGGAGGGAGGGTAGCAGGAGCAGGCAGATCAGGAGCCCAGAAGGTAAGGGGATCCGTGGGCGTGGGCTGCTGGACCAAGAGTGTGTTGAGTGTCCACCTCTGGAGACCCTGGGGACGGCGCAGGACYGGCCCTCTGTCCCCTGAGGTCCCCTGACGGAAGCATCCGGCCTTTGCAGAGACCGTGAGGCGGTTCCAGGACGCGCTGCGGGACCAGTACGCGGGCCACGACGGCCCCGCGGTGGAGGTGGACCTGGTGAGCGCCAGGTTGGAGAAGGGCAGCAACAAGAGCCAGGAGCGGGAGCTGGCCACCCCGGACTGGGCAGAGCGGCAGCTGGCCCGCGGGGGTCTGGCGGGGGTGTTGGCGGCGGCCGGCCACCGGCGGCGGCCGCGGGAGACTCTGGTGATCGCGGTGCTGGGCAAGGCCGGCCAGGGCAAGAGCCACTGGGCCCGGGCGGCGGGCGTGGCCTGGGCCGGCGGCCAGCTGCCGCAGTACGACTTCGTCTTCTACGCGCCCTGCCGCGGCCTGGACCGCCCGGGGGACACCCACCACCTGCGAGAGCTGCTCTGCTCCCTGGGCCCGCGGCCGCTGGCCCTGGACGACGAGGTCTTCAGGCACGTCCTGAGGCGGCCCGACCGCGTGCTGCTGGCCCTGGACGCCCTGGAGGAGCTGGAGGCGCCGGACGGCTGCCCGGGCGGACCCCCGACGGCGGAGCGCGGGTCGCCCCGGGGGCTGCTGGCCGGCCTCCTGCAGGGGCAGCTGCTGCGCGGCTGCACCCTGCTCCTCACGGCGCGGCCCCGGGGCCGCCTGGCGCAGAGCCTGAGCAAGGCGCACGCGCTCTTCGAGGTGGCCGGCTTCTCGGGCGCGCAGGCCCAGGACTACGCCAGGCGCTACTTCGAGACCTCGGGGGCCACGGGCCACCCAGAGAGAGCCCTGGCCCTCCTGCGGGACCGGCCCTTCCTCCTGGCCCACAGCCACAGCCCCGCGGTGTGCCGGGCCGTGTGCCAGCTCTCGGAGGCCCTGCTGGCGCAGGGGGACCCGGCCCAGCTGCCCCCCACRCTCACGGGGCTCTATGTCGGCCTGCTGGGCCCGGTGGCTCGCGGCAGCCCCCCGGGGGCCCTGGCGGGACTGGCCAAGCTGGCCTGGGAGACGGGCCGCAGGCACCAGGGCACCCTGCGGGAGGGCCAGTTCCCGTCGGCGGAGGCGAGGACCTGGGCTGTGGCCGGAGGCCTGGTGCGGCCCGTGCCCGGGACGACAGGGGGGCAGCTGGCCTTCTCCAGCTTCGTCCTCCAGTGCTTCCTGGGGGCCCTGTGGCTGGCCCTGAGCGGTGACATCAAGGACAAGGAGCTGCCGCAGTATTTGGCGTTGACCCCGAGGAAGAAGAGGCCCTACGACAACTGGCTGGAGGCCGCGCCGCGCTTCCTGTCGGGACTGGTCTTCCAGCCGCGGGCCACCTGCCTGGGAGCCCTGGTGGCGCCCGCCGAGGCCGCCTCCGTGGACAGGAAGCGCCGGGCGCTCGCCAGGTACCTGAGGCGCCTGCAGCCCGGCTCCCTGCGCGCCCGGCGGCTGCTCGAGCTGCTGCACTGCGCGCACGAGGCGCAGGAGGCCGCGCTCTGGCAGCACGTGGCGCAGCAGCTGCCCGCGCGCCTGGGCCTCCTGGGCGCCCGGCTCGCGCCGGCCGACGCCTTCGTGCTGGGCCAGGCCCTGAGGGCGGCCGGCAAGGACTTCTCCCTGGACCTGCGCAGCACGGGCATCGACCCCTCCGGCCTGGAGAGCCTCGTGGGACTCGCCTCGGTCACCCGCTTCAGGTGGGGGGCAGGGGACGGGGAAGGGGCTCCCGGCTGCTGGGTGTTTGGAGTGGACGGCAGCTGGGGGGCCTGGTGAGGGTGGAGCCTGAGACGGGAGGGCGGGGCTCACACCCCGGCGGCCAGTGGGGGGCGGAGTCACGCTCCCGACCAATAGCAGAAGGCCCCTGAGCGCAGGGACCGGACCGGCCAGACTCTAGGACTGACCTGGGATCAAATTGATTTTCCTTCCTCCGTCCCCTGATGGAGCCCCTGTTTCTCACGCATAGAGGCCCAGCCTCCCCTTGGCCTCGATGCCTCCATCATTTCCTCTTCTGCTCCACGGACTTCCAGGCACCAGAACAGTCTTCCCAGATCTTGCCGCGCTCATATCCCGCCTCTGCGTACCACCCTCAGGGCATCCCGTCACCCTCAGGATGAAGCCTACATTCTTTCATGTGGCTCGTCCCAGCCCTCCTACAATCTGGGCCTTCATCTTAATCCCCCGGAATCGCTGCCAGATTCCCTCTAAACATACTTTACCCAAACCGTGAATCCGACCCAGTTGTGCCCCAGACTCGACACCGAGCTTCCTAATAGCCAAAGCAAAAGGAGACAAAACCACTGAGTCATGAGAAAGGAGGACTCGTTGAGGCTGGATGGTCATGTCTGGAGTGGGGAAGCGGAAGTCAAGTCAAGGCAGGAAAGGGAGGCCGGTCCTTCCCTAGAGCTGCCCCTCCGTCCTGGTCTAGCCTGGTCACTGTGACTGGGTCTGAGGCCCTCCCTCCACAGGGCGGCCCTGAGTGACACCATGGGGCTGTGGGAGTCCCTGCAGCAGCGTGGGGAGACCCGGCTACTCCAGGCCGCGGAGGACAAGTTCACCATCGAGCCATTTAAGGCCAAGTCCCTGAAGGACGTGGAGGATCTGGAGAGCCTGGTGCAGGCCCAGAGGTGAGGGTGTGGGCAGGGAGGCCTGCAGAGGAGGCCGGTGGGACCCTTGGAGCTGGTCATGGGATGGCCAGTGCCTCTGCTCTGTGAGACACCCTGTGCCCTCTCCCCGGGCAGTGGCCACCCAGCAGGGGGCCCACCATCTCACATTCTGCTTGATTCAGCGCCTGCCGTCGGCGCCAAAGGCCAAGAGGAACCGTCCTGCAGAGCCAACAGGGGGCCTTCTGCCTCGGAAACGGCAGCTTAACCCCGGGGCCTGCAGCGTGGCCTTTAAAGATGGCAGAGCCGAGGTCAGAGGGCAAAGGAAGCTGACCACACAACACTGTGCGGTGTTTGAGCACCTGCTGTGTGCCGCCGGGGCCAGGCGCTGGGAAGGGCCCATGAAGCGCAGGGTCCTGGTGTTTGCTTCTTAACGGAGGACCACAGGGCCCCAAGGAAGGCGGTCCTCGGGGAGAGTGGGGCACCAGGGCAGGGCTCAGCGACAGGAGAGGCCCCCCTGACCCCGCCGCTTTCCCCAGGTTGAGGAGTTCCTCTGAAGAGGCCCCGGGGACCCTGCCCGCTGTCCGMGACCTGAAGAAGCTGGAGTTTGCGTAAGTGCCGGGCCAGGGCGGTCGGAGGGAGCCGGGTTCCCTCCTCAGCAGCACCACGCCTGCCCCCTCGCCCGCCCACCACCTGGGACACCAGCTTCCGCAGCGGGTGCGCCTGGTCTGGGCAGGTGCTGCAGAGCCTCACCCTTGAAGCTGACCGGCCCATTTGCTGGAGAACGAGGTCGCTCCCACTCACCGCCCCGCAGGCTGTTAGACAGGCGGGAGAGGCCAAGGTGGCCGTCCCCAGAGGGCTGGAGGGCCAGGGCACCTGTGGAGGAGGGATATCTGGAGCCAAGCGCACAGTGCCTCCCCGCGGAGCCTGCCGACTCCTGTGACAAGGGACAGCCCGGGGTGCACAGCTCAGCCACCAGCCACGGCGTCTAAACCCTTGGGTCCGTCCCATCCCCGGCTGGTTCTCAGCTGCTGATGGGAACCACTGGTGGTCTTGTACGTGTGGACGGTCAGACCCTCCACCCAGGGACTGTCCTCCAGTTCCAAGGACTCGGGGAGCAGGGTGTGTGCGCACGTGTGCAGGGTGTTAGGGACCAACCTGACGGCGCTCTGCCGGACCACGGAGCTTCGTCCGTAGCTCTGGTTATTTCTTTATCTTGTGACAGGGTCTCCTCTCACTAAGTTGCCCTGTCTGACCTTGACCTCGAGACCCTCCTGCCTCAGCCACCAGAGTGGCTGGGTCCCAGGCCCGGCTCCCAGGAGCCCTAGCTCTGTAGCTGGGGTCAGGGACCTCCCAGCGTGCGTGGGACCGGCCTGGTTGTAGCACAGCGAGTTTCGTGTCCTGGAAACCCCTGGGTCTCAGGCACACTGGGCCAGGCGACTGCCCTGTGTGCACCATTCTGGGCAGTGCTGCCAGTGTCCGTGGGCTCCAGGACACTGCAGCGGGCAGCCCATCAGCTTGTGGGCCCTGAGGAGCCGTGGTGGCTCCCTGTCCAGGAAGGAGCCCTTCGGTCTTGAGGGCACCCTCCATTATCCCATGTGACCCCTCCCGGGCATTGTCACATCTCCCCGTTTGACAGACGAGGACACTGAGGCCCGGCGAGGTCCAGGGACTTCCCCACGGTCCCTCCACTGGTCACCAGGGAGCTCTTGGCACCTCCTTTACCGCAGCCCCGCACACCCCAGGAAAGCAGGTGCTTGGGAGCAGAAGACGGGCGCCACATTCGTGCAGGGTAAACACTGGGCTGAAAAGAGGAACCGGCTGAGGACAGGCACTGGCGGCCCTTTCTGGCGTCAGATTATTTTCAGCTTGAAAATCCCCTAGCTCAAGGTCGGAACTGCGCTCTGGGGAACAGCGGCCCTGGGGTGGAACAGCCTAGAGCCGGTGGACAGCCACCTGGAGGCTGCAGCCTCAGAGAGGCTCTGGGGAAGGAAGGACGGAAGGAAGGAAGGGAGGGACTATTTTGGGCATCTCTCTGGCTTCCACTGTACCCATCAGGTCAGCCCTTGTGGTCAGGGTCTTTCCTGGACTCAGCCCCCAGTATCCTGTTTACCATCATTTCATCTCCTGCCCCCCTTTGTATGTGGGGGTACTGGGGATGAACCCAGGAGGGCTTTATCGCTGAGCAACATCCCAGCCCTTTTTATTTTGAGACAGGGTCTCACTAAGTTGCTGAGGCTGGCCTCGAACTCGCAGTCCTCCTGCCTCAGCCTCCCGAGCCTCTGGGATGTGTGCCCTGTGCCAGGTTCCTGTGGGTTTGCCGATGGCTTCTCCTGGGCCTGGCACATGGAGTGAACACAGGTGGTGGTTTAGACAGCCTCTTGAGAGCATTGCTGAGTTTTCAAGGAGACAGACTGAACAGTCAAGGCATTCACCACGGCGCCTGGCACAGGCTGGGCACAGACCTTGGAGCCAAGCTCCGGTCCGTCCTGTGGCCTTTTCCTGAGGCTCCACATTCCCAGAGTTTGGGACTTTACAGACTGAGAACATTCCAGAATGAATTGCTCTCTCTTAATTTTCGCCAACTCCATTCATTCAAACAAAATAACAACTGGTGTTACCATGATTTTATCAAATACTATTAAAATAATGATATTTTAATATTAAAAAGCTCAAAAGAGAATCTGAATAAAGGACTGCTCTTCCTATTGAATACATTTAGTCAGATTTAAAAAACAAAACAGCCCTTCATTGTCCTTATTTTTTATTCCCTTAATGTCTGGTCTAAATGTCAATCCAGACTGTGTGACCTTGTGTGAGTTGCTTGGCCTCTCTGTGCCTCAATTTTCCCATCTATAAAAGGGGACAAAGAAGAGCACTTAGCTCAGAGTCATGAAGATAAATGACTTCTAAGCCAATGAAAAGACCCAACATGTACCTAGCATATAATAAGTGCTCAAAAATGCTCCTTTTTTTTTTTTGTTTTATTATTTCAAATGGAAAGACAAGTAAGCCCTCTTGTCACTGGAGGTCCTGGGCTGGCATTTGGGGGCCATGTCGCTGGGCTAGAGCGGAAGGAGGGTGGGCGTGTGTGGCTGTCAGCAGGCATGAGGGCTGGGAGCCAGAGCCCAGGTGGCCTCTGGTGGGAGCTCTGTGGCCGCTGCCCCTGGGGCCGGGCAGGGCTGGGGCCGGGCAGGGCTGGGGCAGGTGAGCGTCTGGGAGTGCAGGACGGGGCATGGGACTGTGCCGGCTGGGGTGCCCTGGGCCCCTCCCTGAGGCTGGACAGGAGGCGTGGCTGGTGGGGTCTGACCTGGCTCCTTGCCTCCTAGGTTGGGCCCCGGCTGGGGTCCCCAGGCTTTCCCCAGACTGGCCAAGATTCTCCCGGCCTTTTCGTCCCTTCAGCACCTGGAGTGAGTAAAGACGGGCCCTACCTGGGTCCTGGCAGCCCTGCCCTGCCCCAGGCGGTGCACAGAAAGAGCCTCCTCCCTGCCTGCTCTCCTGGGCATGGCTCCTGTGATGACCAGGGGACACCACTGCAGCACAGGGCAACGGAGGAGAATCTGAATTAAAACAAAACCCTCCTGGGACCTTTGAAAGTCCTCCTTTGCTGCTCAGAGCAATGGCTTCCGGAGGTGGGAGGGCTGGTCCCTCCTCATAATGAAATTCCAAGAGGCTAAGGGGGGCCAGGCTCCCCGGCGCCAAAGAAGCCAAGCAGGGATTCTGCTTGCCAGGAGCCCGACCTCGTCCCCGGCCCAGATCCCCTGGCCCAGGTCCTGAAGTCCACTCTCAGCCCAGAAGGGGGCCATTGGCCCTCGGTGCCCCCAGGCTGGGGGATGGGAGGGGAGGTACGGGCGGGAGGAGGCCAGCGGCTCTCCAGACTGGCCGACAGTCCCTTCTGATTCCACACAGCCTGGACTCGCTGAGCGAGAACAAGATTGGGGACCAGGGGGTCGCGCAGCTCTCAGCCACCTTCCCTCAGCTGAAGGCCCTGGAGACGCTCAAGTGAGTGGGCGGGGCCTGCCCTTCCTGCTGGCTTTCCATCCATCCTTTAGTCCTTCAGTCAGCAGGCCTCTGGCAACAAAGGATCCACTCACTCATTCATTCATTCGATGGCTCATTCAGTCATTCAGTCATCCACTGCTGGCTCCTTCAGTCACCCACGGGCTCATTCATGCATTCCCTCACTCACTCAT